TCCAGATGAGTGATATTTTGTGAACGACGTGATTCCGAGGACCCTAACTGTAATTTACATCCCTTCCAGAATCATAGGCTTGAATCATGAGAAATCATTCTTTTCCTTTAGGTTCCGCAGTGACTCTGTTGAACAGTTCTTGGGAAAGGTCAAAGAATAGCTTCATGGCTCTGTATCTCTCCAAAGCCGCTCCCATCGATCTTTCAAGCTGATGGATGGTCTCAAAACTGAGCTGTTGCCTCAACGAAGGGAACCTCGGAATCACGTCGTTCACAAAATATCACTCACCTGGAATCATCAGCTGCTCTAGATTTCCTATAAAAATTGGGCTTGTGCAAAACCGTATCATAAACTCTTCAGCTTAATGACAGCTTCCCAGAGCGTTTGTTAAAGGAGCCAGACATAGTCGACCGGGAAAATATGGCAGGGAATGGCAACGGAACAGGATCGGAACCGAAACAGAACAGCTTATTGACATTTTCACTTATTTCTTTTGACATCCAGCAATTTCTTTTTGTGATGTTCGAAAAGGAACAAAGAAAAAACCTGAGTTCACGACTTCACCTGGTGATATGTAGTTGGGCAAAGTACCTTTCAACTAAAACTATGGTGCCAAACTATTGCCAGTGGTGTTAACGAAAAAAGCTAAATGAAAGAAAAAGAGTTCCCTTGAAAGCCCCTTGATGGGGTCACTAGTTCTCAACCAGCTTATCTCTTCGATTTCGAACCCTCCAGGACACTGAGAGCCTTACTTGTTGAACAGCCTCTGTCTCGTTTTTAGACGAGGTCCAGCCAAAAAAATGTAGGCTTTTGAAGGAGAGGAGAGAAAAAGATGCAAGGAGAAAGTTCAAGAAACCGAAAAATTCGAGCTGTGAAAAAAGATTGAATATCCATGTAGTAGATGATTATGTGAGTGAATCGATAAAGGTAAACAGTGCATTTGATGACGTCATAGTGTAAACAAATGAGAACACCTTGATGGTCTTGCTAATCACCGCCAAAAACATTATTTAGGCATGCACCAAGGTCCCTAAATTTAAGTGGCGTCACTTTACAGATGTTTATAAGTATGCCCATGTTAATCTTGTATTTCCATGATAAACATGTTAAGCTGTGGTATAAGCATGTTTATGACTAACTAGAGCCCCTGGAGAACGTCCGTTGCGCGCGCCCGTAGAAAGTAGGTCACCCCGCCCACTTCGCGCGCGGCACACCACACTGAGGTCTCTACATGACATTAACAAGTAACACCAAGTGTCAGTGGAGCAAATGATTTGCATTTGTCTGTGTTATCTTCTCTTTGAACTGACTGCCGTGACCAAG